ACAACCGTACAGTATATTTCTGACACACTGAAAAAATAAAGAGTACAAAAATAGCTCTATTATATAAAGTTTTACATGATCAAAATGGATTCATAATTCAAAGAGCAATGCAGAAACAGAGCTAACTCAACAATTCGCATTTATCTTTCATTGCTCCGATGGTTCTAAAATGATGAACGACCGTTCCCGTCTCCTGACTCTCTCTTCTTGTCCTTCACTATTTCTATAACTAGTTTCTCTCTTTTTATACACTTTTTTTTTTTTTATTCTCTCTCAGTTTGGATTTATACACTTAGTTATACAGAGTTATTTTGTTTTCTTTCCTAAATCTTATTCCCCACTTAGAACTATGTTTTTCATATCTCTGTATTGTATGCTATTGATCCTTTCATCTTCCCGTTGTATGGAATCTTTTCCACCTATCCATATGGATCATCTCCACATCTGTGATGTTTGTATGTTTCATTTACTTGTACACAGGGGTGCACTGACCGTTTGGAAACTCGGGCACTGCCCGAGGGCCCGGGGTCCGTAGGGGGCCCCATGAGATGCCCCTGGTACCTTTTTCATAGGCTTTTTTGAGTTTGGGCAAGGACACAGGGCCCCATGAGTTGTCAGTCCGCCCCTGCTTGTACATGTTATTTTCATGCTCTGTTCTGTTACATTTGATACAAAAGAAAAGAAAATAAAGACAAGTTTGCCTTTAAAATGATGGAGGATGCAGTCTCATTGTCTAAAATGGGCCCTTGGCTGTGCTTTGTACTTTCAAAATATTTTTCTCTACGGTGTACTGAACCATTAAAGACCAAGTTCACCTTCTGTATAAAATTTCTCGTGCAGACAAGAGGCCCCAGTAGGTTACAAAGCACTTTACTGTTTTTCAAGATATTGCTCAATGTAATTGCCATACCTGAAGGCCCGTACTGCTCCATCCTCTTCCCCGAGGCCTGGACGAAATTCTCACATGGCCTCATGGCAACTTTCCTGAACTTGGCAGAGAATGCTTGCCCTCAGAATTAAAAGAGTAAGCAAACTTCCCTGTTGAAAAGCCTCACATGCACAGCGTACGGTGTCTTCCCCATCCCAGCAATGCTGAACTCAACAGCTGATGTATGTTTTATGTCAAGATCTGCACCGAAGAGCTTTCCTCTCACTAGCGACGTACTTACAATTGCGATGCAGTATGAAGAGTGATCTGTGGTAGATTACTCCCTAAAAGGTTGCCTTCTCACCACCTGTTTTAACCCAAAAAATCTTGCATCGCCATGACGCATGGCAGCATGACCCCATTTAGATAAATGGGTCACCTTCGGTAAGCAGTACTGCCCCTTAAGTGCGACAGGTGGGATAAACTTTGAGGCAAAACATAGCAGCCACATGTGTACACACCCATATGCTGCCTTTGCAGCTTATGGGAAACAGTAAAAAAAACATGGCTCAACAGTTTGTTTTCACTATACCCCCATCCCCCAAAACCTCAAGCATCCCAACACACAACACTTGGATACTGGTTTCTACTCTGTTTTGTTTTCAATTTATAGTTGATTATGTTGAACACAACAACAGGAGAAGGGGACACACAAGATCAGTTCTGTATTGTAGCTGGAGGAATAACACTCTAGGATAGTCCCCTGGGTCTGGTAAGAGACTAACATTGTAGAAGTTCATCTGTTGTCTACTGGGGTCAGTTGTGCTTTGAGGGCCCCAACTTTGCCGGCCAACCTTTTTTGTTTTTTTCCACCAATCGCTGGGCAGTGGGATAAAACTGGACTGTTATACTGAGTTAGGCTCTTTATTTACGGTTATTTAGTTATTCAGAACACTACAGGTGTTTATCTAAGAATATTGTTGTGGTCTTATTGACTGATTGGGTGCACTTGCTATTCCTTGGCCTAATAATTCTATAGATACCTCAAGGTGTGTCAGTAAGTGCTGGATAAGTGAGGTGTGTGATCTTCAGGTGTGCTGAGGAATCACAAAACAATTCAGCGGCTCCTATGCGGGTAGTGCTTCACACATAAAACGGAACTTTACTCAAAAGTGAAGTCCCGCTGGTTTGCTCACTCCACCCAGCCAGTAACAGAGTTACACTTTTTGTTTTGAGGAGAGGGGTGGAGTGAATACCGATTTTTATTTGGTACCCGCTTCCTCAATCCTCACCTAGGTGAGGATGACATCCCTTGCCTCACCCCCACCCCTTTCCTCCCTTAGCTTCCTGGGGATGTCACATGTTGCAGGACCATTCACAAAGTGCTGCACAAGCGTTTGAGGAACTGGCTGTGGTTCTTCAGAAAACTACAGCCAGTTTCCATATCCAAGGTGGCAGCCCGCAGTAGTAGAAAAAAAAACAAAAACAAAAAAAAACCCAAACACAGCGCCATGAAGAAAGCTCTGGACCCCAGGCACTGGTAGGTAGCTGATTTTTAAAAGTCAGCAGCTACAGTATTTGTAGCTGCTGATTTAAAAAAAAAAAAAAAAAAAAAAAAAAAAAAAAAAAAAATCACCTAAGTGTTCTGTTACGGCGTGTTAAAGCGGAACTAAACCCATCAATTTAATGGTTTCCCAAAACAATTACATTCAAGGCATGCAATGAATGATAACGGTCATGGATGCTTGTGCTTTCAACTGAACTGTCAAGCCATCAAATGGTTGGTGTCATTTGCAGCACCATGGTAACTACAGATCAAACAGAGGCTAAGATGGCAGCTTCCTTGACTGTAGGGAATAGGAGGGTTTAAATCCCTTGTTAACTCACGTTGTGGCACATGTTAATGTACATTGTAAAAAGGCAACCCATTCATTACTAGTCAGTATGAAAATGGAAACTGGGCAAACTCAAACTACCCCAGCTCTTAGCTACTGCTTTATGCCTCAAAAAAAAAAAAAAAAAAAAAAAAAAAAATAACTGCTGCCAAAAATAAATTAAAATCTGATGGTTTCTAGCTTTCCCCTACTGTACTAAAGAAAAGCATGATTTTGTGTTGCTGTCTCTCACAAAAACGTCAGGACAGGAAGAAGGGAAGGAAAATTTCTCAAATGGGGGTCCTAGTGAGCAGCAAAACACTTCCTTACGTTATCAAAAAATATTTTAAAAGGTTTCGGCTAGACATACACATAAAAATATGAAATGCATTTTCTGTCTGCATGACATGTAGGAGCAGGCAAGCCCAATGCTGCAGCCTTTTTGTACATTCTCTGTGGCCATTCTACACTTGGGATTTCAAGTGACACTTTGGCTCCATGCACATGGGTATTTTAATGACGCTGGTATAGCGTTAGCTGTGTAAAGTCACATTAAAAACACAAGGTTTTCAGCGTTTTTGCATTAGCGTTTAGCAGCATTTTTTCCCAAGAATTTAAAGAAAACAAAACAACACACTCCAAAACACTGGTTTGCCATGTTTTACTTCGTTTTTCAACATTAGCATTTTTAGGCCTTGATGCTTTTACAGCTGCTATTTTTGCCTTTTTTTTTTTTTTTTTTTCTATAGCCAGTAAACTCGCCAGCATGTTATCCTATGTGTCCATGCACACAGACTGTAATCAACAATTTTTGGCAGGGATGTTTTTTGGCTGGAAAAAACCCCAGGACTAGTGGGTTTATAGAGGAGTTTAGCTGTAAAAACACTAACGCTGTAAAACACCACTAACCGGTCATTTTGGACTTGGCAAAAAAAAAAAAAAAAACGCAAAACACGGAAAAAATAAACGTCAATGCAAAAAAAAGCTAAAAAGAAAAAAAACTTCTAGAAATCCACTAGTTCTGGTGTATTTTCCAGCCAAAAATATGTCCCTGCCAAAAAACATTGATCACGGTCTGTGTGCGCATGGACACATACTGAAGGATAACATGCTGGGGGGGTTTACTGGCTGTAGTAAAAAACCGTCAAAAGCCAAAAACAGCCGCTGTAAAAACGTCCAGTGTGCATGAGGACTAAAAATGCTTTAACTCTGGGAAAAAAAAAAAAAAAAAAAAAAAAAAAAAAAAGAGGTAAAACATGGCAAACTAGTGTTTTTGGAATTTTTTTCCTAAAAACAAAAAAAAATATTTCTTGGTAAAAAAAAAGGCTGCAAAACGTGGCTAAACGCTAATGAAAAGACCAAAAAAATAAATAAAAATGCCAAAAACAGTAGCTGTGTCCATTAGTTGCGTTCATGTGCATTGCTCTATGAACACTACAAATCCCATGAACTATAGTCCATTTGGGGAGTGAGCTATGCTCCTACATACAATGGGACTATGGAGGACCACATAGCCACCCTCTCACAAGAAGTAGGATCACAGCAGCAGAAATAAATTTGGAGATCCGGAGGAGGCTGAGAGAAATAGAAGGTACTTTTGAGTTCAGAATACATACTTGGACAGAATTTGTATTTTCTAAACCAGAGTTTAGTGTCACTTCAAGGTGTTTAAGAGGTCATTTGGATGCAGTGCAGGCATGATCTGTCCTCAGGCACCACTCCTTACAAGATAAATCTATAAACATATGCTTCATAAACAGTAACTGAAACTGCAGTCATTGTACTTCTTTTTGCATTAATCATCATTGGAAAGGAGAGATTAGTAGATTATGGCAGTAACTGCAGGAATAGAGCACATGGTCATGAAATACAGCTTTTCATGGCATTAATTCCGTGTCCGTTGATCTGCGCTTTAAGCTGGTCACCATACTGTATATGCCATTGCTGAAAACATTAGTTATCTGGTATTCTGACTCACTGCCTTTTGATACTTCCCCCAAGTCACTAGGGCTGATTTACTAAAGGCAAATAGGCTGTTCACTGCAAGGGAACTTGCACTTTGCAAGGGAATTTTCCCCAGAGCTTAGCAATTGTGGTGAAATTTCATTTTGCAGAAAACACCTGATCACATGCAAGGAAAAAAAAAACCCAGCAATTTTCTTGTACATGATTGGGTGATGAAAGTATGTAGAGCTTCACCTCATTCATTAAAGGACAGGTTCACCTTTTGGACAAAAATAAGAAATGCACATTTTTTTTTTTTGCAGGTAAAAAAAAATAAAATAAAATGTGCATTTATTATTTTTGTCCAAAAGAGCCTGTAAAGCATTTCACCAGTGATCAGTAGATTGCTGATGCCATGCAGGTCTCCTGCAGACCTGCTAGAATATCTGCTTGCTGTACAGGATGTATGGCCAAGAAGATATTCTAACAGGAAGCTTCAATGAACTACCACGTCGCTCCACAACACCGTGGCAGTTCATTGAAAACTACAAGCCCACAGCCGCTAAAGCTGTCAGGACTTGCAGTTCATTCACAGAACTCCATGAATGATTGACACGGCCGTGTGGGCAGAGCAGTTTTCAAATCTGACAGATGGGAGACTTCTCCCTATATTATCTGTCAGAGGGGGGGGGGGGGGGGGTGGCGGCTGCAGCTATGGGAACATGTTACATGCGCCACCCTAAAATCATGTAACATGTTCCCAAAGGTGAACTTATCCTTTAAGCTCTGTGCAAAACCTAACCTTGCCTTTAATAGGTCAACCTCACCAACTCAAAACTGGTACATAGACCAGGAAAGCCAATGTAAAGTCAGATGTCCTTGTTGGCATGCTATTCTGGATTAGTAATTTAAAAGTGGACTTTCACCATCCCCCCCACCTTTTTTTTTTCTTTTTACCCCTGCTTACCGGGTGATGTTTTCTGTACAATTGAGATACTCACCCACCCATCAGATCAAACATTGTCTTGCTGAGATCCCGTCATCAGCCGCCGTTCTCTCCCGTATGCAATATCGAAAGGCCTGCCGTCTTTTCTTGATTTATCTCGTGGTTCTCCTGATGACATGCCACTACGTCTGCCCCCCTTCTCCTTCCTGAATGAAAGAATAAGGCCCCATAGACCCTAAGGTTGCAACTTTATGTAGAGGATGAAGGTCCACTTTAAAGTGCTGACACAAAGGAGGGTTAGTGTGAGGGCTAGGTAACTAGCATTGGAAGAACATTGATCTTAATAGTGGCCACACTTGCTTTCCAAGAAATCAAATTAAGAATAAAAAAGGACAAACACCTCCTCTAACATTCGCAGTAAAAAAAAAAAAAAAAATCTGGCTGTCCTGATCACCATTTTACTTTTCTTCCTGGGAATATTCCTCCACTCCTTCCCGGGGTCCAGAGATGTCCTTCTGCTTCACATCCCCATACAAGACACTGAAGTCCATACTCTGGAAGGATAGAAGAGCCTCCTTCTGGTTATCCTGATTACCGTTTTACTTCTCTTCTTCCTGGGAATATACCTCCACACCTTCCCGATTTAAATGTCATGAGTTCTGGTCTTATACAACTTGCTTGGAGTGGTTGGAGTCACCACATATAGGGATCAGCTTGGGAGGATTACTAATCTTTTTTTGGGTGTCCAGGGGAAGATTCCCTCCATCCATTTCCCTGGAGGCCTTTTAAAAAGTGTGATTGACCACTCCTAATAATGGGTCACACACTTTCTGGTAAGCCTTGCATGCAAGTGGTTGGTGTCACATTGGCTATCCTCGGAAGTCTTCCTATCTCATCATGGCATTTGGGGACTGTTCGGCTTTGATGTCATCATTTGATATTTCACTTATGAACATTTTGAATCACTTTGAACTTTATTTTGTTTATAATGTTTAAGCGCTGCATTTTATTTCTACAATATTGAGTAGGTGCCTGGTATCAAACGGTGTACGGCGTTTTATTTAGGTGCTGGTACAAGTACGGTGTTATTTATTGGCGTTTTATTTCCTAGCGCAGATTTTTGAGTTATACTTTGGTTTTTTTTATAAATATATTTTCACCAGGCTTATTAAAACTGAGTCTACCTAAAACTCATATTTCAGATTTTGATGGTGTTTGAGAGTTAAAGTATAAGTTCAGCTCAGTGAACAAACAATAAATGCAAATTTTTTTTGCAGGGAAAAAAAAAAAAAAAAAAAAAAAAAAAAGTGTATTATTTTTTGTATGTGGAGCCTCTAAAGCATTGCACCAGCAGACCGCTGGAGCCATTCAGTTCTCCCTCTGACCTGTCAGTATATCTGCTTGTTCATACAGGCAAGCAAATACTGAGAGGAAGGCTCAATGAATTACCACATCGCTGTGGAGTGTCATGGTAGTTCATTGAAAACTACAAGCCAACAGCCACAAAGGCTGCTGGGACTTGTAGTATTCCCATTCACAATACTGTGGGAGGGCGGAGCCCCACACTGCCACATTTAAAAAAAAAAAAAATTGTGACAGCTGGCGGGGGAGGAGATCCCTCGCCAGCTGTCACAATGGAGATGGGGGGGGGTTTAGGGGGGCCAGTCCACTCCTAACATGTTACACCATAAATATGGGTGTCACATAAGGTGAACTTATCCTTTAAGTCTCAGGATTCTTACTTGTATTTCTCAGTGGCTCTGCACACCTGTTACAAAGACATCCTGCTCCAAACATTGGGTTTTTCATTTATTTTTAGATTAGATAGAATATAACGGAACCAAACCATGAACTTCTCACCACTGGATTCCCCAAGAGATGTATAAACCAGCGATGATCAGGACAACTAAAAACAAAATGTACAATGTGTAAAGTAGGGGTGCTAAACCTGTGGCCTGCAGAGCCCTCTGATGTGACCTGCAACCTTCAAACCAGGGAAGTGCATGTCCAGGGTCAGCAACCCATTGATCATGATCTGGGATTGCTGACCTGCCATCCCAGAGTATCAGAGTGCATCGAGCCGGCAGCTGCAGAGGGAGCAGGAGCCAAAAGCCAATTCTTCCGCTGATGCGCTCTTCAAATTGGGGTAAAAAATTGTTTTTGTCCCAACAACTGTCTCTATTGGAGGATTTCTCCTCTATTCTTGTTGTTCTAGTTACAAATCAAAAATGATCACTAGAATGAATAGAGCAATAAAACATGACGGGGATTATACCCCCATCCATGCTTTATATATAAAAAAAAAAAAAAAAAAAAAAAAAAAAAAAAATATATATATATATATATATATATATATATATTCATTTATTTTTCTTTAGATATACTTTAATCTACAGTACCACTTATCAATTAACAAAACAAAAAAAAAAAAAAAAAAAGGGAAAGAAGACGTGTACTGGTAATATTACCCCCAATCACTCAGAACAGAAATTTTCCTGTGATATGACATTTCTGACAATGAATTCATTATTTCCTTCACCTATTATATCCACAATTTCATGAAGTCATAAAAAAAAAAAAAAAAAAGAAGTCTACATATTGTTAAATTCTCACATTTACTACAAACCAGACCTTTTTAACAAGGCAGTGCCAACCTGTACATGTTTTACAAGCCTCATATTAATTTTCTTTCATATTAATGTAATTTTAATGTAAGCCGTCTGCACCCTGGGTGCCTAATATAAAAAGTATGATACATGTGTTTCCAAAATCAGTTTGACATTTAATTGAAAGCGAGTCACAGGAACTGCCGAAAAGCTGACTTGGGTTAAAATAGCAGCAATAAGTCACTGTCTACCAGAGTAATAAATGAGTGCATTACCTTGTTAAAAGAAGTTCAGTGATTGCAGTCAGACAAGTGTGGTGTGCTGTACAGAAAGCAGGTGAATGGTAGAGTAGCTGTAGGAGTGGAACATAATGTGAAAGGATCATTAGGCGGGGCCAGGTTTCCCTGTGTGTAATGAAGCACCTGAGAACCAGCCAGACCTGATTTTCTGATTATTCCAAAGTCATTTTACACATTACCAATTTTTGTAATAGCTTTTACATTTGTAAATTCAGAGTAAGCTCTTTAACATCATGGATATTTGAATTGATCCAACATTTCACTTTAGAACCAAGCTGGAATATTTGTTATATATAAGATTCATTTTATGAGATTTAATAGTGTGGTTTAGGTACTAAAAATCACCATTGTAACCCCAATTGTAGACTAAGACTACAGTGGTGATTACATCAGTTAATGATCATTAATCCAGAGACAGGCAACAAGAATGGTAAAAGGTCTGCAAGATAAAACATATCAGGAGAGACTTCAGGAACCTAATATGTACAGTCTAGTGGAAGGAAAGGGAAGACATGAATGAAACCTTTAAATACTTTAAAGCTCCAAATAAGGTTTAGGACGGCAGTATCTTCAATGTGAAGTCAAGACCAAAAGCGCCAGGACATGACCTAAAACTAGCAGGAGGACAGGTCAAAATTAATCTTTAAAAGTATTATTTTAAGAAAATGTAGTTGCTGCTCGGGATAGACTTCCAGCAGAGGTAGTGAGTCAGTCAACACTAAGTGGATCTAAGGGGATTTAAGTATACTTCAGGATGAACAAAGATCTATGCCAAGACAAAAAAAAATTATATATATATATATATATATATATATATATATTTTTTTTTTTTTTTTTTTTAAATTAGGACAGACACAATGGACCACTTTTTTTCTGCTGTAACTTTTCTATGTTCCTAAGGCTCCATGTACACAGGATATTTGGAAACTGACTGCTGGAAAACGCAGATTAAAAAACATCTGTTTAGCCGCGTTTGCATACCGCGTTTATGCGCGTTTGCATTTAGAAGCGTTTTTTTAAAGATAACCTCAGGAGACCTTCCAGAATGCAAGAAAAACAGTAAAAAAATAACTATTTCAGACATTTTGAGAGAACTAGAGAGAGCAGTATGTGTTGAGATGACCTGTCTTTTCTGATTGTATTCACTGTGGATCCCATTATGATCATAATGCAGCACGCACGTTCTACCATTTTTTCCTTCATGTGAAACTTGGAACTGATTGTGCTGGTGTACTGAGTCCATTTGAATACATGGAAAATGCTTTACATGCATTTCTGATGATGAAAAAAGGCTCTGGGGGGCATCTGGATATGGAATGGTTAAAAACCCCTTCTAAATGCAAATCCTAATAAACGCGGTTAGCCGCATTTACACGCGTTTACAAGTGTTTGGAACGCTGATACAATCTACTCCTGAATGCAAGTTTGGTACGTTCAAAAAAATGACTGTAAACTCAACTGCCTGTAAACGACTATATGTACATGGACACATAAGTATACATTAGGGTGAGTTCAGGGGCTGCTAAAAAAAAAGCAGAAAAGCTCCCAAACATGAGTTTATCATGAACCCTAAATATCATTTGCTAGAATTAAACTACTTGTTGCCCAGCATC